CCATATGCCGTCTAAGAACTCCAATGCGTTAATTTTTGGATCTTAAAAATTAATTTAAATTATCAACTCTGGCAACTTATTAAACCGCATCAGTAACTCAATAATACCTTTTGTTAATAAGTATAGCAAACGATCATTGACTGAACGGGTAAGACTAAAACTAGAAGACCAATTTTTTAGATCTAAAGCTCCAATGACTTTTTCAACATCGGCGTGGCCAAGTAGACCATCGTGATTGCCCGTTTGGTCAATATCCCTGAACAGCCCCAAGTAAAGTCTTGCTTCGTAGGACGATATACCTATACTCTATGTAAAATGCGTGTATGGAAATAAAAAAATCAGATTAGTCTGAAAATTGTCTATATTTTTTTGTGTTATTACCTCCAAGTTGTCTTTTTGCTTATCGTAATTGGCCACAAATAACAAAAAATCTAGTAATTTTCGAGCGTTCGATACATCTGTAATTAAAATGTCAACAAATTATAAGCAACTTTCAATAAAGCTAGCTAGTGTAAAATTGTTAAATACTGGGAAAACAGATAATATTTTTTACGAAACATTTTTTTTTTTTTTAAATAACATTTTATTACCACCAAAAAGTTGTAACCTGTTTAAAAAATACTTTATTACCTTCTTGGAAATCAAATTCTAACATATTATCATTACTCATGCCAATACTTCTTCCCATATTTTCCATATTTTCCTTGGAAAGGTGTTTTATATCCTTAACGAGCTTATTGTATAATTTTTTAATGTTATTGATTTGATTCCCGTCGATTCCGATGCTCTATGAAATATCATAAGTACAAAAATAGTAATACATACAATTAACTACCGATATTTGGTTTTATGTGGTTTTACCTGTATCACGTTTATAAAGTACAACACGTAAAGGATAACTGCACTTTTGAAATACATAATGATTTTTTTTTTCAGACACTATTGAACCAGAGATAAGTCTTCAATACTATAGTCGGAAGAACAGTGAAATTCGATTTGACTTAAGGTGTCTACATTAAGGTGAGATTGACAAAAACAAAATCAGTATAGAACTGCAAAATATTGGCAGGTAGTTGTTTTTCATTTTTTTTTTTATTTGCTAAGTATATACCTAGAGTCGTTTTCGACCCAGCAGTACAGTTATAAAAAAGTGTAAACCAGCAAAAAAAATACTGAATATCTACTTATGTGAAATACAATAACAACATATTTTTTTATTTTTTTTTACAGAGTTTTTCATTTTAGGCTTGAGTATCTTGCCTAAATTCTTGCCTATTCTCTGGAAATATTGATATTTTAAACGTATTTTTTTGACCTACATTTTTTCACATTCTTTATTTTATCATTTTATAAAATGACAAAAACAAATTTAACAGTCGTACCGTATAATAATTTTCAATATGGATTAACATTGTTGTATATTCATTGACTTAAAATATGTGTCTAAAATTATACAGCTTTGAAAAATATCATTAAAACATTAAATTTAAAACTGATTACTCATAATTAAAGTATAAAAAAAATCTTATGTAAATCGTTTAAACTAACAATATAAATAATGTTATACCTTAGTATGAAAGTAAAACACAATTAGATTAATATAAATAATAATATTCGCTGATGTTTATTATGAAACCCAAATTATACGAATGACAAGTTGTGCCGGTGTAGCACACGCGTGTGGTAGACAATTCCCACCATATGTATTTATATAAACTGCTGATACGTAACACCTCTTTCCTTTTTTTTTTTTATTTACAATAACATCAAAAATAATATACTTAACCATAATTAAATTTTTAATATCATATAGATAGATAATACAAATAATTTAAAAAAACAATATCAAATTACAATAACAATATTTCATGCAAAAATAATAATAATGTGTAGTAAACATGTTTTTACAATATGCAAAAATTATACAGTAACATAATTATTTATAATCACAAGGAGAAAAACGCTGAATGGGTTTTTTAATCCTAACGGGTCTAGGTGATTTTTGTGTTGTGGTATTTATTGGTACAGTAGTTTCAAAGGAATCGGAGTTTGTTTGGTCAACACTAGGCGTGTCTGAATAATTAGAAGCAGAAGATAACTCATTTTCTTTTAGGCCGCGTGGCCATATCTGATCATTGTGCCTTATCCATTCAGAACCATCATTTATAACTACTTTATGAGTATTATGACTAATATTATCAGTAATTGTACCCTTCTGCCAATTTTCACCTGTTTTTCTGTAATCTTCATTTAAATACATTTTTGCTGATGTATAGGAATACGCCACATTCGGCAACACACGAATCTCCCGCTCAACTCATGTCAGGTCATTCGACACGAACACTATTTGATTTATTAATACCGAACACCAACGAAGTAGTTATTAATAATCAAGTTACCCAAATAAAAAACGGGGGTAAAAGAGACTTAAATTTAGATAAGGGCGATGGTGTGTTTAATATATAGAGAATTAAACTATTTTGAATTTATTATTTAGTTCTAATTTGAACGTTGAACGTACAACATATCTCTTATCTCATAACAGATAACAGCGTAACAGATTAATATTCAAAATGGATCCGAAATGGTCTTTCCGATAATTGTCTTTCGTAGTTTTTGTTACCTTGCGGCGCGTGACAGCGTAACGCTTTTTTTCGGTTATTTACCGGCTAATTCTCACCCCCAACCCCATTCCCATTCCCACCCCCAACCTCATCTTCAACCCCATTTCTTTATTGGTAACGCTTTCTTGATAACGCTTTAATGGTAACGCTTTTTTCGGTTATTTGCCAGGGTTTTGTGCCAGAGCTAAGACATGAAAATGTCAACAATTTGGTGCTCGACTATTGTACATTTTTTATCAAATATTTATTTTTAAATGTTAATGGTTGATGAAAAAAGCCATAATAACATTTTATATGATTTATTAAGACATTCAATTATTCAATAAACATCAAATCTAAATTTTTTTGTCATTTTTTAATCTCCAAGCGCTTACATACACAGTGTTAACACCGTGACTTTTAGTGGATTGTAAGTACAGAAATGAAATAATGTTATAAACACCCAGCACAACTAACAAGGATATTTTAGCTTCGATGCAGAGCAGAGATGCTATTGGTTTTACCATGATGTGGCCTTTTTTTTGTCTGTATACACTGTAACTTTTTTCAATACTGGACCAATTCCTTCGAGTAGCAACTCTATAAATCACAAATTTCATCTAGTTGGTACTTTAGGGAGGTAAAAGTTGAAAAAGTTTACTTCTTCACAGTTAAAATTTAAAAAAAAAACCATACGAGTTTTTAAGTTAGAACTTTTAATGGCTATAATTTCAAGAAAAACTGTCGGATCGATTTGACATTTATAAGAAATCTTTATTTGGTATGCCCGCACACGTCGGTTGTATCAAATTTAAATTATACCGATTTCCCACCCCCCCCCCTATGTGCGAGTTTATTGTTTTTTGGGTTTTTTTAGCTGTAGTTTCAATACTTTTAAGTAGAAAATTTGTCAGTAGTTAAAACGCATATGTATCCATAACATATTAAAAAATTCGCCATAACCGTTGTGAAATGAAAATTGTAAACTGAAAATTATTCAACATCTTTTATGGTCACCACCATTTGAAATGTTTTGTAATTGAGTGGAATAAAAACAATAGCCATTTTTTAAATTAATAAAACCTTTTTTATTTGACACTAAAACCAAATGTTTTCATCATACTTTAAAGATGGAAAAAAACAAAAAAAATGTGTATGTATATGTACCGCTGTACATATATTATAAGCATTAAATTAAAATATATGTGTAAAATTATACAACTATGAAAACAATTATTAAACATAAGATATTAAACCGATTACCAATGATTATACCACTCCCGAAAAATATTCTTATGTAAATATAATATAGTAATAATTCACCAACAACACTTAATCTAACAATTTACATAATATCAGTTAATTCTATATTTTAAATTTTAATCATTTTTACTATTTTTTTGCAGCGGTAGTTACAGCTGCTTTTTTTCAGGGATTTTTTCAATGTACTCTAAGTGTTGATATATTATAATAATGTTTGTAGTAATTTATAATATCTACAAGAACAACAGTGTGATAACTCTTATAACAGCAATTCATTGTGATAATAACTGTAAAATAATTGTAAGGCAGTTTTGATATTTCCATGTCTTAGTTCTGGCATACAACCGAAAAAAGCGTTACCAAAAAAGCGTAACGAAAAAAGAAATAAGGATGGGATTAGGATGATGATGAGGTTGGGGGTGGAAGATAGGGGTAGGAGATATGTTGTATTCAACGACCAAATTATAAATGAAAAATAAATTCAATGTAATTTAACAGGTCATATTTCTTATGAATTGTTTAAGGCCAGATATTATGAAATCACTAAAATATAAGCCAGAAACTTGATATGTTTACTAGTCACCTTAGATACTAACTTGTTATTATACTATTTCATTATCTATAATTCCACCACTACTCTAAATTTATTCGGTATCTCAACGAGATATGAAAATACTCTTTCGTGGTTGCAGACTCGGCTGAAAAACTTGTTTATGTTTTAGTTTGCATATTTTTATACCGTTTTCGAAAAACATATTAACTTTTTTTTGTTCTGTTTACAAACTAGATGGCTTGCAAGGCCTAGGGTAGGTGATTGTGTTGATCTCAAATAAAAAAATAATTTTATGGTATTACAGTGTTTATTTAATCGTTTTATGAAGCTACAAAGAACGAACTTTAAATCTATGTTATATTAATTATCAATATGGATTAACATCGTTGTATATATATTATTAGCATTTTTTAAAATATAATATGTGTACAATTATACAGCTTTGAAAAATATCACAAAGCATCAAATTTAAAACTGATTACCCAAAATTAATACATTCCCAAAAAATATTCGTATGTGTATCGTATAGTATAATATTAATTCAACAAAATCGCTTAATCTAACAATTTACATGATATAAATTCAAACCACTGCCAAAATTGTTTTAAAAAATTATTTTTAAACATCAAAGTTCCTATTTTTTATTGAAAAAATGACAAATTTACATTCTCCTTAAATAGCGTCAGGAAAAACTCCGCAATGTCCAAATGATTGTCATCTAAAAAGTACAATATTTTTAGTTAAGAAGTTAAAATAAAGTAAAATAAAAATCTATTTAACATACACTTAAAATATTAAGTCTAAATGATCATAGAAATACCTTTAGAAGCTAACTCAATAATAACCGTATACCCTTAAGCCAATAGATATTTTCCTTTTGTTTTAGAGCTATCTTTTGGACTTGGATAATTACACAAACACAGATGAGTAACTTTTACAATTATAATCATTAGTCTAACATATTTGTTTTTGTCTAAGAAAACTCTTCGATTTAATATCGTTAATGTTATGTAGTTTATAATGGCGGTTTTTCAAGATTTTGTTTACTAATTCTAACTGTAAAAATATCTACGCTCATAAAACCGTATTGATCCTACTCTATGCCCGACCTAACTATGATATTTAAAAGAAATAAATAAACTAATTTTGTTAACACAATAATTTGGTATATTACTATTGATATCATTTTCCAACATGTAATAGTCAATTTTTTCTTGATTCAAGGTGCGCGGGTAAGATGACGCAATATTCGAAACATCATCCTTATTGAGTAGACCATCTTTGTCGGTGTCTCGCTTAGAGAAAATAGATAAAATATATCTAACCGAAATGGTAGAATATACGGTTCCAGTCTGAAGAATCAACAAAGTAATTAAAATTAGTACCTCTTAAGATTATGTAACGCACAAGAGAGCGCTACTCGCTCATCTTTTGTAGTGTGATAACATAGTTTGCACGAATATAATTTACTCTATGGCCTGTGAATTGTGATAGTATTGTGTTACCGAAATTTCATAGGAAAATAGAAAAGTATAATAAATTTACCCATGACAACTTTTTTAGTAGATCCAATATTTTTTTAAAGTTTATATTTATATTTTTCATTGTAAATGAATGGGAAAAAAATTTAATGTCTTTTCATAGAAATTACTGTGATTACATTCCTCACTAAACTAAAGTTAAACTTTTGAATTTAAACATAAATGGGTGAGTGCATTCTCATAATATAGGCATACTAAACGCAATCGTAATAAAAAAAATGTAATAATACTTTTTCCACATTGCTGTATTCTGTTAAAACAAGCAACAGCTCTTGCAACTCCAAAAATGAATTTCCTTTAATCAAAAAATTAAACCAATTGTTTGTTTTTTAAAAAATATCAATTCATAGAAACAGAGCTGGGAACATTTTTAAAGTTTTCCAAATCTGCATAAAACGATATTAATATGAAACGAGATAATATCAAAAATATATACTTCGCTTGGAACCAAATGCAAATTGGCCTCTGTAGTCGGACTTAACTATACATAAATTTTTGAAAAATTGTGTTACTGCATCAGCGTCAATATGACCATTATTTATGTTACCATTATGGAAATCTATCAGTACCTGAACCTGCTTTTGGTCTAGACCATTGCCCTAAGTACAAGACGTTTTTTTATTTTTAATGCTAAAAACAAAGATATATATGTTTTTTGTCAAGCCTTTTACGAAAACATAAATCCTTACATCTGGTTTTGCTATCCATATCCGGTTTAAGAACTCCAATGCGTTAATTTTGGGACCTTAAAAATTAATTAAAATTATTAACTCTGGCAACTTAATAAACCGCATCAGTAACTCAAAAATACCACGTTTTAATGAATGTAGCAAACGTTCACTGAGTGAACGGGAATTACTACGATGAGTAGACCAATTTTTTAGATCTAAAGCTTCAATGACATTTTTAACATCAGCGTGGCCAAGTAGACCATCGTGATTGCCCATTTGGTCAATATCCCTGAACAGCCCCAAGTAAAGTCTTGTTTCGTAGGATGATATACTTCGATTCTATGTAAAATACGTGTACGAAAATAAGAAAATCAGATTAGTTTGATATTTGTCTATATTCTTATGTGTTATTACCTCCAAGATGTCATCTTGTTTATCGTAATTGGCCACAAATAACAAAAAATCTAGTAATTTTCGATCGTTGGATACATCTGTAATTAAAATGTCAACAAATTATGAGCAATTTTCAATAAAGCTAGCTAGTGTAAAATTGTTAAATACTGGAAAAACAGATAATATTTTTTACGGTCATAAGTTACATTTTATTACAACCAAAAAGTTGTTACAATTTTTTGGTTGTAATAAAATGGCTTAGCCTGTATAACAAATACTTCATTACTTTCTCGGTAAACAAATTCTAACATATTATCCATGCCAATACTACTTCCCATATTTTCCATATTTTCCTTGGAAAGGTGCTCTATTTCGTTAACGAGATTATCGTATAAATTTTTAATTTTTTTGATTTGATTCCCGTCGATTCCGATGCTCTATGAAATATCATAAGTACAAAAATCATAAAACATACAATTAACTACCGATATTTTGTTTTATGTGGTATTACCTGTGTCACGGTCACGAAGTACAATGCGGAAAGGATAATTGCACTTTTGAAATACATAATGATTTTTTTTTCAAACACTATTGAACCAGATATAAGTCTTCAACACTATAGTCGGAAGAACAGTGAAATTCGATTTGACTCAAGGTGTCTACATCAAGGTGAGATTGACAAAAACAAAATCAGTATAGAACTGCAATGTATTGGCAGGTAGTTGTTTTTCATTTTTTTTTTTTATTTGCTAAGTATATACCTAGAGTCGTTTTCGACCCAGCTGTACAGTTGTTAAAAAGTGTAAGCCACTAAAAAAAATACTGCATATTTACTTATGTGAAATAAAGTAACGATACATTTTTATTTGCTATATACACCGCACAAAGAGAACATTGCGAACGATGAGGGTTATTAAACCTTCATATTATAATATATTTTAAATAAAAAAATAATGGTCAAGACTATGCGGTTTTATTGGTTTGTGAGATGAAAAAATCCTTTTAACATGTGTATAATCACCTAACTTATCCATACCCATAACCGATAAAGGTAACACTTTTATTAAGTATTGAAAAATGTAGTAAAATATGTACCTGATATTATGATCGTTGAGTACTAAACCACGAAAATTAAATAGCTGGCAAAAATGCTCAGTGCCTTATTGTAGTAGCTAACCTTTAATAAAAATTCTAAGTTTTTATTAGGTGAAACTATAACTATACCCTTAGATTTATTATTATGTTTTCAGAAATGTCAATTGTCATACACTATGTCAATTGTATCTAACGAAATATAAACGTTATTTCGATATTTAGGTAATTTAGGTAATTTGTTGGGTTTAACCCTTAATAGTACCCTAAACAATTTTCTTTAAGAGTTGAAAATATGTTAAACTTATTCCTCGTTTAATTGCGAAGTAATCTGATATACTTACATAACACTGATCTATTGTATGAACAACACAATAGATCAGACAAAAATGTGTTTAAAAAACATGATTTCATGTACTTTTTTGGCATTACAAAAGTAAACCCGGGTTTTATAGAAATATATTGTACTTACTTATTATATGATATTTAAATAATTTTATCGTCGTTAGCCAAAGCATCCGATATAGGCTCACACTCATAGATCTTTTCTCCACAGTTTCCTAAGAGCCACGATGTCTCTTTTCATTTAATAATTTCACTTATAATACAATGGACAAATAACAATACATATAAATAAATAACCAAATTAATTAATTAATCAATTGACCACAACTTCACACAGTACTCGTGTGTAAAAACCTTTAATAACCTTAAAAATAATTATTCATAATTATTGGTTATTGGTATTACATAGTGAAAATGTTCAAAAAATTATTCCTAATTTAAAAAACTAAGATAATGTACACGTCAACATTTAAGAAAATTAAATTCCTTCCGTTTTTTACATACAAATTATGGGATTTTGTTGTTAAAAAAATATAGCAAATTCGGGCTGGCTATTAACTATCAAAGTATGAAAGAGAATAGTTTAAAAAATCTCTTATAATATTGACTGGCTCATAGGTAACCAATCACCCTGTATGTAGTATTAGGGTGGTTCTTATTTATGAACTTAAATGGGCTTAAATGAACTTAAAACTTTAATGGGCTACCCCGCCATTTTGTTAATTTCTATGAAAAAACAATTTGAGTAGAATTTGGTTTTGATAACTCACCTCTTCACGTGTCGCAAGGGGGTTAAAAAATGACCAAATGGGGTAGTTTTATAGTTTTTTGAGTTTAAATAAAAAACGATTGCATTTAGCTTAAAATTACATATTAACTTTATGATAGATCATTAAGTTCTCTATAAAAAAGATTTTCACACATTTTTCCAAAAATGTATTATTATCCAGGAAAAAAAATAAAACATAATTTTTTTAATTTATTTGGAAAAACTGGTTTTCTATGGTTATTTAAATATGTTTGATGAACGATTGGAAATCAAGTAAAATAGATTAGTAGGAAAATTTTCATACGATCAACCTTTACGTATTTAAAGATGGTTTAAACAAATATATTGTGAAAAACGAAAATTATCGTTAGAAAATAAAGTATAGAAATCGACCCGGGAACAAAATAAAATAATTACATTTTTCCTATAAAAAAATGTTTGTCTCTTCAAGAGACCTATTTTATAGAGAATTTAATGATCTATCATAAAGTTAATATGTAATTTTATGCTAAATGCAATAGTTTTTTTTATTTAAACTCGAAAAACTATAAAACTACCCCATTTGGTCATTTTTCAACCCCCTTGCGGCACGTGAAGGGGGAGAGTTATCAAAACCAAATTCTACCCAAATTTTTTTATAGTAATAAACGAAATAGCTGGGTAGCCCATTGAATAACTTTTAAAAAAAAATCTTCATCTATGATTAAGGACCAGCCTAATGTAGTATACACAGTTAAATCAGTATAGTCCGACAACGGTTTGTATAATACATAAATAATTTATATTATTGCTTTTGAATAAAACTAGTTTCGATAAATTATTATAACGGTTCATGTGCATTTCATTTTTCGAGAAAACGTGGTTAAGATTTTCAATAAAAGTAAAGATGAAAGTTTGGAATGTAGCGAATGCCGTGAAAATAATTATATTTTATTTGAAGCATTTTGTTATTTTTCACTTAGGTACTCCGGTTGATTTTCACTGTGGTTTTCCAACACTTTTTGTCGTTCAACCTTGGCTTATACAAATAAACGCAAAACACATGTGGTATTCTACCGTGACTTTTGCAACTCGATGGAACAAAAAAAAAAAAAAAAATAGCTGTACAATCCGTACATGTGCAATATTTTTTTTTAATGAAAAAAAAAAAAATATGTATTCCCGTGTAGTTGTATACAGTTTAGAGAAAATTTGCTACCCCCGAACCCCGCCGACCCATAATATCGAAATGTATGTACTTTTTTAGTAAATCGTAGCTTTTCGTAATTTTAAGAGAAAAAGAATAGGTGTTGCTATTTATAAATCAAAAGTTGCTAGTAAAAAAAAAACTAAGTTGAGAAGGGGGTAAAAAAAAAATCCTGAAAAATTGAGATCATTTTTTAATATCTCAAGCATAACCCCTCTCCCCCCCCCCCGATCTCCGCTAATAATCACTATGTAAAAAAAATGTAACTTCTTATTAGACCGTATGAGATTTAAGCGATAAAATGATCACACTGTATGTATGATATGCCTCACTCAGTGAGTGGGACTCTGATAACCAGTGGACTTGTTGGTTCGTCTTGGGCTACTAAATAAGGCCCCTATTTTTTTTTTAATTTTCCCACATGAAGTCGCCGCCATCTTGAATATTTTTTGATGGACATTTATAAAATTGATAAAACATTGTTTTTATTAGAATCGGACACTCAAAACAAAATAGTCCTCGTAGTTCGATTATGGGATGAGTACAACGAGTATTTTTTTAAAGATTTTTTTCTATTTCCAAAAAATTTGGATGTTAAGATTAGTATTAAAGTATATTTCCAAAGTACTAAACCGAGTCGGGAATTGTTTTTATCGTTTCACTCCTAAATCAAAAGGAAAATCAAGGTTTACCAAGACCAGATTTGTTTTTCTTACTACTTGTTTTATTGCATGTAACCATTTTGAATACCAATTAAATAGAATTTTGTTTTTTTTAACTTAAAAGAAAAATCCTAACTGTACTCATCCTATCCTTATACCATTCCTTTTTATATCCTTATTGTAATCATAGTCGATGAAAACATTTGGTTTGAGTGTTTAATTACATATAAAAAAACAAGTGTTATCAATTTTAAAAGTGCCCATTGATCCGTTTTCCGCTTAATAATTTCAAAATATATTACATGGCGGCAACATGATAAGTTGGTGGACAATTTTCAAGAATTCAGTCATCAGAATCACACGGGTTGTATATACAGGGTGATTCGTTAATGATAAAACCATCCGTATAAATTATTTAAAGTTGTTAGAAAGTGAGGTTTTTGTATAAGTTCGCACATCGGCGCATGTGTTTCAAAAGCAAACACAAATTTAAAAATATGATTTAACCGTGGCGTTAACTCGAAAACACAATTTTTCTACTTGGGGAAAACAATCGTGTGATTTGATGTGCGTTTCCATATTTTCACTGTTCACATAAATGCAAATATAGTAATCGTTTGTACAAAAATTTTTTACGCGTTCAAAAGACTGTTAACATTATTTAGATACTCACATCGAGCTTGTGTTATAATAATGTGCACCTAACGTCGACAAATACAGGGTCTTTAGTACATCAAGGCCCACCTGACTTATTGACGATTTTCAAAAACTATGATAAAAACCACCCATGTTAAAATCATTATTGGTTTTTATCGTACAATGATATTGTAAGGTCATTGTTTTAGAGAAGGGGTGATTTTCGAATCTCTCGTAGCAACCTGTATATTAATTTAGATATGCGCGTTAAGCTATTTATTTAAGAAGATAGAAAATAGTTGAACTTTGATCAATCCCGATCCTTCAGGTGGGATAAAAAAATCAGCCATTTTTCAGCCGAGTCTGCAACTACGATAGAATATTTTCATGTCTCGTTGAAGTACCGAATAAATTTAGATTAGTTGTAGAATTATAATTAAAAAAAAAAAAAAATTACATGGAGCTTCCAGTTACAGCTTAAGGCCAAGGGGATTAAAAAACTATGTACAATCAAGTTTCTGGCTAAAATTGTAGTGTTTATTATCTGGCCAAAAGTAACGTAACATAGAGAATTAAACTATTTTGAATTTATTATTTAGTTCTAATTTGAACGTTGAACGTACAACATACCTTTTATCTCTTATCTTCTATATCTTACCCCTATCCCCTCACCCCCTATCACTCACCCCTATCTCTTATCTCATATCAGATAACAGCATAACGCTTTTTTTGGTAACACTTTTTTTCGCTTATGTACCGGCTAATTCTCACCCCTATCTCCCGTCCCCAACCCCATCTCCGTGTGGTCACGCTTTTTTCGGTTGTGTGCCAGAGCTAAGACATGAGAATGTCAAAAATATCCACTGTAATTGAACTACAGTTTTTACAACAGTTTTAGGCCACTATGAATTCCGAACCCGAGAACAATTATCTAATAATTAAGCATGATGTGGTCCCAATACTTTTGTT